AGGTCATCACAGCCCAAACCCCACACCTTGTGGCTCCAGAACACTGAAGCAAACCCCAACCTCAAACCACAGGCCCCAGTGATACCAAATCCAGAAAGCCATGGCTTCATAATATCAAACCTGAAACCTAACCTCAAATGCAGCCGGCTGTTCCTGAAGCCGTTGTGCAATTCGAAGTTGGTTTGCCTTCCAAGATGCAGTGTTCGGTATCTTGTGTGGGTCTGGGGCTGAGGGTTTCTACCAAACTACTGGGAGGAAGGGTTTTGTAGGCAGTGCCGCCGTTAGCAATGCTGGTATTAGTGCTAGTATATAAGAAGATACTGGCAGCAGCAACAGCACAAGAGTTGTATAGTATATGTTAGTCGTACTAGTAGTACTAGTAGTAGTAGCCGTAGTAGTAGTAGTAGTAGCAGTAGCAGTAGCAGCCACAGTGGTAGTAGTAGTCGTAGTAGTGGTACTAGTAGTAGTAGTAGTAGTAGTAGTAGTAGTAGCAGTGGTCGAAGAAGCAGTAGCAGTAGCAGTAGCAGCCGGAGTGGTAGTAGTAGTGGTAGTAGTATAGCTAGTTGTAGCAGTAGTAGTATAGTAGTAGAGTAGTAGTAGTAGTAGTAGTAGTAGTAGTAGTAGTAGTAGTAGTAGTAGTAGTAGTAGTAGTAGTAGTAGTAGTAGTAGTAGTAATAGTAGTATGTAGTAGCTGGGAGGCTTTTATGGTGGTGCTGCTGCTGGTGTGGGTGGTGCTGGTGGTCTGTGGGGTGGTATTGTTGCTGGAGGTGTTGGTGGTAGCAGTGGGGGGTGGTGGTGGTGTTGGGTTTGGTGTGGGTGGTGTCGGTGTTGGTGGTCTGGTGTGGTGGTAGTACTAGTAGTAGTAGCTAGAAGTAGCAGTTTTGCAGTAGGTAGAAGCTACTAGGGTGGCAATATCGTAGTAATCGTAGTAGTAGTAGTAGTAGTAGTAGTAGTAGTAGTAGTAGTAGTAGTAGTAGTAGTAGTAGTAGTAGTAGTAGTAGTAGTAGTAGTAGTAGTAGTAGTAGTAGTAGTAGTATAGTAGTAGTAGTAGTAGTAGTAGTAGTAGTAGTAGTAGTAGTAGGAGGAGGAGGAGGAAGTAGCAGGAGTAGTAGTAGTAGTAGTAGTAGCAGTAGTAGTGGCAGTAGTAGTAGTAGTACTAGTAGTAGTAGTAGTAGTAGTAGTAGTAGTAGTAGTAGTAGTAGTAGCAGTAGCAGTAGCAGTAGTAGTAGTAGTAGTAGTAGTAGTAGTAGTAGTAGTAGTAGCTAGTAGTACTAGGTAGTGTAGTAGCAGCAGCAGCAGCAGCAGCAGCAGCAGCAGCAGCAGCAGCAGCAGCAGTAGTAGTAGTAGTAGTAGTAGTAGTAGTAGTAGTAGTATAGTAGTGAGTAGCTTTTACAGCTAGTAGCTAGAAGCCCAGGCATGTGGATCCACCACTCTTCGCGAAGATCTGCGGCAACTGGAGCTTTCGAGCATTGTGGGTCTTGGGCAGTGATGGGCCGGCTTTAAGGGTGCTTTTATATAAGGCCTAGGTGTTTCTCGGGGGTGTTCACTTAAACCTTTGGTGTTGTTAGGAGAGCCTGGTGTCTACACCAGGAATACCTCGGACTCTTTTCATAATGTAGCTCATTTGGTGGCTTCTGCGTTGAATTGCTCGGCCGTTTTTACCCGCAACCCGGCCGCAAATACCCGCAACCCGGCCGCAAATCCCCGCAACCGGCCGCAAACCCAAAAAGCGTAGCAAACCGTATTTTCCTTTTGGCCATAAACTACCCAAATCGGCTGTATTTCGGGTTGAACCCTAAGGCTAAAACCCTAAGCCCATGCATAGTTGCATTCAATTCGTGTGTGCAAAGCACGGGTGATGCCTGGCAGCTCGATCTTGCATTCGTGGATGCGAAAGCAGCAACCTGCATGCTTTCGGAGTATGAACATGTGCGAGTGGTTTCGAGAAGTGATTCTCCTTGACTTCACAGGCTCTTTAGCTTTGCTAGTGTAGGTGGGTCACTCGATGACCTCCCGTTTGTTTTCGTGTAACTCGTTGGTGGAAGCTGTGCCACTCCTTGCCTGCAACTCCATGTCGCAGCCAGAGCAAGCTCATGATGTGCAGAGCAGGATCGATGCCCTTTGTCTGTTAGTACAAGATTTCACATAAAGCTTGATCCCGACACCTAACTCCCTTAAAATCCCTAAAGCCCTGTTTTAAAACCCTATACATGTGCCTTGAAAACAAAGCTAAAACATATCCCAACCAAGGCTTCCAGGGCCAGGATCCAGGCCCTGCAGGCCCAGCTGGCTGCACGTGGCAAGCCCCGGCCCCGCTCCGAGGCTGGCCCGTCTGGTGGCTATTCTGCAATCAGTCAAGCTAGAGAATATTATATATGCAAGCTTCGATCAGTAGAGCCCAGGAGCATTTGATTTCGAACCGCAACACCCAGTCGTATACATATATGAAGTCATCCCCCAAAAAGCATCCTCAATCCTTCGGGTCCCTAATCTGCTCTCAAGCCCTGGAGGCCCTTACCATGCTTAGACTCATGCTCCACTCTGCCCCAGAAAAGCAACAGCATCAACCCAGGCAAACCTACAGCCCTATACCACCCTAAGCAATCCCCTAGCTTTGTTGTATATCGGTCATAAGCAGCAATTGCAAACTCTAGTGGGATCGGGTTATGTATCTGGACCAGACACTATATTATACATACATGCATATGCATGCTTATACATGCATACATGTATACATACATATATATATATATATACATATATACAATATATGTTACACATACACACATACACATTCACACAACACTATATATATATATATATATATATATATATATATACGTATATACATATGCATGCATATATGCATGCATACATACACACACACACACTACATAACCACATGTGTGTGTGTCTGTATATGTATATGCATTATATATTTGTAAATGCATGTACAGCATACACACATATATGCAAACCTATATAATCTGTGTATACCTATATATTATACATATATATTTAATATATATATATATATATATATATATAATATATTCGGGTATATAGATACATGCATTGCACACTACAACGCACACATGTTTTTTTAACATGGCAGGGTATAGTCCACACAGCATTGCGATGCTTTGTGTTACACTGACCACATACAGATATCTTGTCTGTATGTTATTGCATTAATCTATGCACGAGGTGCACCATGCCTGGCAAGACAGACCTCCCACCTGGCCGTGCCCGGTGCCTTGACGATGCCACCATGCGCTGATACTCTGGTGAGTGGGGTCGGCAGTACCGAATCCCTGGGATACGACAGTGCTGTAGAAGATGCCCAGCGCCAATGGCCGAGACCCAGCCCAGAGAAACCAACTGAGCCTGTGGACAAAGCAAGCAAGCCGGAGCCCGAGATCCCGAAGCCGAAGAAGAGCAAAATCGAACCACAGCCCAAGGACACTGAAGAAAGCAAGCCGGAGTCCAACAGCAGCCCAGCAAGCAAGCCGCTGTCCAACAACAGCCAAGCAAGCAAGCCGGAGTCCAACAACAGCCAAGCAAGCAAGCCCGAGCCCAACAACAGCCCAGCAAGCAAGCCAGAGTCCAACAACAGCCAAGCAAGCAATCCGGACTCCAACAATGGCCGAGCAAGCACTCGGGAGCCCAACAATGGCCGAGCAAGCAAGCCCAAGCTTTTCACCCCAACCAAGAGAAGCTCTACTGCCGAGCTAAGCTCTCCTGATACCTCGAGATCCAGTCACCCGCACAGCAGCCCCGGTACCGGTTCCTCAAACCGCCACGCCCCTCGAAAGAGCCATCGATCAAAGTCGCCGACGTACTGGAGGACATTTGGATGCATTGGGTTTCTTTGCATGTCTGTGTGTGTGTGAGAGATTATATGCACACATGTGTATGTGCACACTTCTGCTCGTCTTGTCCAATGCATGTTTAAGCACTGCTGTTTTTTCTACATGTGTGGGCTTATATACATATATACATACACACATCTACAATAAATTATATGTATATATATATATATATATATTATCATATACATATATATATACATACATATATATATATATATATATATATATATATATATGAGGTAGCTATATATATGTAGCTAGGCAGGAGTGTGTCGGTAGACTGAATATTGGTTGGTTTGTGGTCGTGGCAAGGTAGCACAAAGATTGGCATGTTGGTAGAATGTTGGGTAGGCAGGCAAGGAGTTTGGTGGGTATCCAAGTAAAATGCACACTTCATAGGTATAGGTAGGTATATATATATATATATATATATATGTATATATATATATATATTATATATATAATATTGTATATATAGTCAACATATCGGTTGTCTAAACTGAGGATCTAGCCCGAGACCCTGAACCCTATATAAAAACCCTAGAAGGAGCCCTGAACCATATTATAAGCCAGCATAATATCTATCCCTGCCCTAAGCCCTGAAACCCTGAACATTAGAAGGATTCTCTGTGGATACATCATGCTATTATTTGATCTAACCCCTAAACCCTCGACCTTTTTTAGGCATAGACCCTTCGCAGAAATCCTTCAAGGATGCGACGATACTTTGAACCCCGGTGCTCCGGGGAGCTCAAGTGCTCGGAAGCTGCCTTGTCGCTGTACAAAACATCCGAAGGCCGCAGCTCTGCTTGCAGCCTGTGCAATGGGATCTCTGTGTTGTGTAGTTTTTATCGAGAGATTGTAATCGGGTGTGCCTAAGGTAAGAAGCTGAAGGAAATGCTTCTGAAGCATGGCAACTTCAAGTGCCTGGAGTTGCAGCTACGCAAAACCCACACGGCTTCCTACGGTAAGAAAAAGTCGGGGAAGTGGGTGACCAAGCACTTCCTTGGGACAGCCATGCACTGGACCCCGCCCTGAACTCGGCTTGTATCGTGTGCATCATTCATCTGCAACAGGCTGTCCTACCATGTTTGATGTTAGCTACTGTAGTACATGCCATCCAGGAAGATGATTTCCTCTGCCTGGACATGGGCAACCAACACCAAGAACATCCGACGCAACAGCATCCATGGTGAGGAAGAAGCCAACCTCATCTTGGATGAGGCCTTTGAGGCCAATGACCAGACCACCAACGAAACCACGATGCAAGGTGGAACGGATGTGCAGGAGTGAAACAAATTGTGCAGTTGTGACTCACTTGCCAATGCTATCTACAAATACAACAAAAGCCCAAACCCTAAACCCTAAACCCTAAGCCCTAAACTGTAAACTGTAAGCTGATCTAATCCAAAGCTATATAATCGATCTTGCAGGAAGACTCCGGCTTCCTCCTCGAGGGCGATGTGCCGGACATCGAGTCCAATGCTGCAGCCATCGCCAGTGGCCAGGCCAATGGTGCAGCAGCAGCATCCTCTGCGCAGGCAGAGCAGCTGGAATCGTTCTCTTCGTCAGCTTCGTTTAAGTGTCGTGGCAGTATATGGAAGTTGTGCTATCAGCAATGACTGTGCTACCGACCTTGGAGCTCAATTTGGGCAACCTGCCTAGGCTCACCTTTCCAAGCCTTCAGCAGACAGCCTCGCCGTTGAGTATCCTACCGGGTTTTCTCGAAGTGCTTGGGCGAAAGATCGATAACACCGTCGATGTTCTCGAGACTTGGTTTGTATGTAGCCGTTTCAATTATCAGTCCTAGTTTGCTAGCTTGGCTGATAAGGACAAGCTGAAGAAGATCGGTGGCACACGGGCGCAGACGTGACTCGTCTGTAGCATGTCTAGACCAGTAGTAGCTGTCTCTGTGTTGTTGCACAAACCAAGGCTGAGGGATCAGCTCGAGACGATTCTGTCGAGTATGCGGGAGCTCTTCAACAAGCTGACTGTGAAGCAGTCCGAAAGCTTGACTTGCAATGTCGACAAGTACAAAACTTAGCTCGTCTTTGATCTGTCATAAGTGTGATAGATAGCTGGACATAATGGTGCTTGCTACCACAGGCCCTTCTCAGACTCGTTGCTTCGCTTGTTTGCGGAGACGACGAAGCAAGACCTGATTATGAACAACTATGTCGTGAGGGCAAGGCCACAGAGCTGAATTATCAAGTTCATTGCATGCTATGCATGTAACTAGCATCCCGAGTTCAATCATCTCAGGTCTGTGAAAGGTGGTGCTGGCTCATCTACTGACAAGCCAGCCAAGAAGGAGAAGAGCAAGCCCAAGAACAGTGGCAAAGCCAAGAAGGACAAGAAGGATAAAAAATCTAAGTCGGCAAAGGAGAAGAAGGACAAGAAGGATGGCAAGGGCTCTCCCAAGCCCAAATCCAAAAGGGATTGAGCCAGTGCTTAGTGCTGGTGTGGGCTCTTTTCTGAGGTAGGAAGTAGAAAAGCCGTGCAGCAGATCAATGGGGCTGGGGTATGTAGCTAGATATATTCGCTAGGCTGGCAGAGCTAGGCTTCAATGAGGCCCTGTTGGTGTGTTGTTGTGCTCTTCCAAAAGCACACTATCGAGCAGTGTGCCGGTATCTGTGCCTGGGGTTATCATGGCAAAATCTGCGACCGCTGAAAACACGGAGTTTTGATGTGTAGATATGCGCATGTCGTTGCAAACATTATAATATTTAGTCTACATATCATGTGCTTGCGAGGCCTGCTGTCTGGTGATGCCAGCTCCGAGAGTGATTCAGGTGGGCCAAGTGGGCTAGTTCAATATTGCTAACCCTACGAAGTCCTAGACCCTAAACCCGATTAAAATTAATTCAAACCCCAGGCCCCACGAAAACCCTGTGACCCCAAACCTCAATGGTGCAACTCTTAAGATTTCCACCTGCCATAAACTCGGTCCGCAAACATTATGCCAAGAGGGTCTAAGCTGTTGTATATACTTCCCAAGTCCGAAAACCCTCCTGACCGAAGCTCGAAACCAGTTCAGTAGAAGTTCTATATTAAGTAGAAACCCCGAAAAGCTCCAGGGTCATGGTATAGGGACTGGGTGTGCTTATTTTTACAATCCTTAAGTTCTTGAGCTGTGCACCTCGACCAAAACCTATTTAATATAGGTGCACCAAACCCAAACCGTGCTGAACAAGTCGTCCCCAAACTCATCCATTATGTGATGTTTCCAAGAACTTCTAATATGTTCAAACCCTAGAAAAGTTCCCAAGCAATCCTCAATGGCACTCTTACATACCACCACCCTGCAATGCTATGTTGATGTCCAAAGCTCCGGCTCCTTAACCAAAAATCCCAGCCTAAATCCCCTAGCACCAACCCATCTATAAATCCTTCTTAAATGTGTCCTCGCAGGAGATGAGCCGACCGACGATGACCTGGCTGATGAGCTTCTTGTGGGCTTTGAAGCTGGGGCCAATCGTGCGGCAAGCAGTTCAGCATAGCTTCTGGGAGAGGACACGTACTAGGTGGATTGAGGTTGTACCCATGTTGAGGATACCCTAGCATGATTGCAGGCCGAGAGTGCGCGACGGGTGGTTCGACTTGCCCAAGTGGCTTCCAGGAAGCTACGCAAGATTGGCCCCAAGGCTCAGTTCATCCTGCCAATTGATTTAAACCGTAAACTAGTTGGGAATTGATATGTCGCTAGGGACTACTATCTGGGCTCTGTACTATTACCTATTAGTGCTAGATCCGATTTTGGGTATGTCTAAATCCCGGCAATGCAAGGACACTCAGACCGCTACTTGAATCAACTGGCAGCCTGTGGAACTGGTGGGAGGGGGTATATCAATGCCTCGAGAAATCTACATAGATTGATCCATCGGCAAGGCCGATGCCTGAATGTGAGTGTGAACTCCGTCTGGACTCCAGTGAGGTTTCTTCGGAAGGGGAAGATTCGAAAAGAGAGCATAAACATGCCGGTGCTGATGCCATCGAGTTGGTTGCGATATTCACTGTCTGTCGGCGGAGAAACATTCCTTGCTGGGGACTGCCTGGATGCTGAAGCATCGATTCAGCAAAGATTCAGAAGCTTTTGGCGAAAGTTCCAGGCCATCGACCCAAGCTTTCCATTCTTTCAAAGACCTGATTATCAAGATGTTGCAGGCCTTTCAGTTCCTATCCTGGTCCATGGAGATGAGGGCCGTGGGAATTCTAAACGACCGATTATGTGCATCTCGATACAACCGCTGATTGGACTGCGGGGCCTGCAGGAAGTCAATATGCGATTGTGTCCGGTCAACCACATTTTAGCCCCTACTTCAACCCGACATCCCAAAATTTAGTTCTTATTGAATTTTTATTAGCAATCGGTAAGCTAACTTGTAAGGAACTCCCTGGCAAGCCGCATGCTGTTCACAGTGATCCCTTCAGAAACATATTGGGGGGACCGGACCATCGACACTCTGCTCGCTGCCCTGGCCAAAGACCTCGGAGAGCTTTATGAGAATGGGGTATGTGTGGCTTCTACTTCATCTGCTGGCTAGTTGTTTATTGCTAGTTTGTCGATTTGGTTTGGGGTATAGGGCATTTATACTGCATATACAGCTACAACTAATCCCTGACCTAGGTATCACATAAAGGCCGCAGAATGATCGTGCGATTGGTATTGATCGGAGTGAAAGGTGATTGGCCATTTTTGCGGAAGGCCATGAGGCTCAAGACTGGATTTACATCCACAAGAAAGTGCCATTTATGCAACACAGAATCCTAGTCCAGGTTCAGAACTTGTTATTCAGCTAATGGGTATATACGTAACAATTATCGACACAGGCAGGGTTAATTTCCCCACATAAAGCCTCCAAGGACAAATGGTATGATGTTTCCAAGACTGCTGCGACAGCTGCACATGAAGATGCTCCAGAGGATCCATACAAACAGTCTCAACCTCCTGCTGCCCTCCGGAGCATACCCACGATCGCAGACATCCCTCATGCATCGAGGGTCGATGTAGCGCACACATACGCCATCCAAGGGTGGGGGAAAGATTTCTGCGGTTCCTCACTTGTTTTAATGGTTCGGATGGCAATATTGCCAGGTCGATCATTACAGGTGTCACTGGACCACGGCTATGGCCTTTTCAGGGAATACTGCACCCTACATCACAAGACCACATCCATAACACACTTCAGCAAGGAGATCCTGAAGGTGAAACAGCTCTTCGGCACTTATCTGGGCTGGTGACTGTGTGCCATATTACGTGCAGTGTTTAGAGGTTAGGGGTTACATTAGGGGATCGGCTCGGTAGTTAATGCTCTACAGTAGAAGCCAGAAAGTTGGAACATCATTATCCTCATGCCCTTAATGTCTTTAAAGTATATAAGGGATCCTAGCACTAATCCTCCTATATCCATGTTCCAACTTTCTGGCTTCTACTATAGATCGTTTTATTATAAGATGCATTTGCAGGCTTACACAATTTCCGAGGGGGTGTGGCAAAGGGCACGATTGTGGCCTCATGAATGCTTGGATACAATCTGTGCTCGAATCAGTGGATGAGACAACGCTGGCACCTTCGAAGCAGGTACTAAGCCCTAGGATACCCGACCCTACATGGAATACTTGGCCATTGAACTTCTGCAAACTCCACGATTGATAGATGCACCAGTTCTGCACTTGTGTACCGCCCAGGCACCCGAGTTTTTGGATCTCTTCCGACTGTTTCGATGGACTCACCAAGCCTGTGGTTTACACTTTCGCACAATTTATCGTGCTGGGATCTTTCTGACAAGGGACGAAGCTCGTGTGGCCATCGAAGCTGGCTGGAAGATGCTGGTGGCACTGCCTTGTTAGCAAAGCTCTGCTGGCTGTTGCTAGATGTGATGGATGTTGTGGGGTTATATCATTCAGATTTCTAGAATGTGCTCATGCCTATGAGGACGGCTACCAGCGACTTGCTCACAAATGTGCCCAGAATCGCTGGGCATTGTTCCGAGTGCGTCCAAAGCTGCACATGCAGTCAGAGATTATGAAACTTGCTTGGTCTTTGCAATGTTTTATAACTCCTGGAACCTAGCTTGAATAGTTACTTGTTTCATGGGCTCTGCTGTTCTTGTTCCGAGAATGATTTCGCAGCTTAGTTGGGACCTGCAAGTCCAGTTCGATGCTGGGGCCAAGGCCCTTCTCAATCCCTTATGTGGCCTGTCGATCTTTAAAATTTATAATTTGCTTTAGTCTTCATGTAGCTGTGAAGCTGTCAATATTGTAAAGCTTGGGCCATAGATCGATCCACCTAGGCTTTGCTACTTGGAGCGATGAGGACTACATAGGCAGAATCTCCCGGATCAGCCGCCGGTGCTCGGCTGCTGGCAAAGTTATCCAGACGATTACGAAGTCGCTCATGTTTTACAAAAGAGTATGGCAATGTCATTATGATTTAAGATGATGTCCGAGGTCCTGGCTAGATTGAATGTCCGGTAGATGACGAGCAGCATCACGGTGGCGAGGAAATAGTGCTGCACTCTTGCGCGCGATTGTGTGTAAGTAGGGGTGCTGGTATCCGGAACCCCAAGCCCCTAAACCCTTCAAACCCTAAAGCTCATAAACCCAAACCACGAAAACCTAAAAACAAAAAACCTGCCAAACTGTAAACCGAACAACTACTAATGTATTCAGAAGCTATAAAAATCCCGGATATACACCCTAAAGCGAGCCAGCCAACTGCCGAGATGATGCTTCGGCCACATTTGTGGCCATCCGGCCACTTATTCAAAAGCGGCCATTTCTTATATAATCGTAACACAAATATTTCGCTATGCAAAATAACGTAACGAAAGATCCCCTAGGTATATATATATATATATATAGGGCGGTCATGGAAAGCATGCATATATAGCTATATATCACTTTATAATATATATATATATATATAAAGTATATATATACATAGAGCTTTGGCCATGGAGGTGCGCTTGACGCAGGAGCTGTTTGTGGCGCGCGGAGAAGTGACGCGGAAAATCCCCAGCAACTTTTTGTGCATGGTGGACGGAGTGCAGTACATGCAGTTGCGGCCGACGTCGCCCTGGCTCTGCAACCTCGTCTGCGGGAAGTGCCCACGCGGCATGTCGCTGGCGAGCTCGTCGCAGCTGGAAGAGCTGAAGAAGCTGCGTGACGGCGCGCTTGAAGCCGCGTTGGGGGGTGCAGGTCCTGCAGAGAACTTGTTTGCAGAGCAGCGAGCGCCCAAGAGGCGGAGAGCACAGCAAAGTGCCGAGGAGGTGCGCGCGGTGACCGTTGATGTAGACGGCACCCAAGTGCGGATGTTGGCGCCGCCGCGGCGGGGCCTGCGCCCGGACCTGCATGTGGCGTGCGACGGCGCGCAGCTCGCCGCGGTGTTTGAGAGGCTGGCGCAAGACTGCGATGCCTGTGCTGGCTCGGAGTCCAGGGACTACAAAAGCGCACGGGGCGCTATGCGGCCCACGCGCAGGGACGCGGGCGCGGCACACGCGGGCGCCCGCGAGGGTCGCGCCGCCGCGGAGTGGCAGGGCGTGCGGCGCCCGGCGCGCCGGTCGCGAGACAGGTGCCCGCGGAGGAGGAGGAGGAGGAGGAGGAGGAGCAGGAGAGTGCAGATGAGGATGCACGGAGAGCGCTGAATAGCGGCTTTTACAGTTTTGCGCAGGATCTGCGACCGAAGGAACCAAAATAAGGGAAGAGCCCAGTTGTTTGGCTGCTTTGCATATTTGTGCAGCAGAAGCATGGAATTTTGATTTGCAATGCATGGCAACGTGCTGAATTGTGACATCCGCGCCGCTCCTTCTCAAGCTGCAAGCACAGCAGCAAAGCACAGCAGCAAACACAGCAGCAAACACAGCACCAAACACAGCAGCAAACACAGCTCCAAGCACAGCAGCAAACAGGGCGGCATGCATGCGGCCTTCCTCGCACTTGCACTCATGCAGCCAGGTCTAGGCACACGCACTTAAAGTAGGAGCCTTGTAGGCACATGCAGTCAAGAAAACTGTATGCACGCGCACGAAAGCGCCGTATAGGAGCCACTGTAGGCTGTAGGAAGAGTGTAGGAGGAGAGCCTTGGAGCCACTGTAGGCTGTAGGAGCCATGGTCAGCATGCCAAGGGAGGTGCTGCTGGAGATGGTTGCCGCCCTCGAGATGGCGCGGGACACGCGGGCTTTGAACGAAGCCGAAGAGCGCTTGGTCGCTGAGTTTCGCAAAAGCGAACAGGCGAGGGCACAAGCTGCCAAGGAAGCGGAGGACTGCATGGCATGTTTTCTGTTTAGTTTTATATTTTTTTTAAAGTTATATATATATATATATAGATATATACATATATATATATACAGATATAAATAGAAATATAAATATAGGCCCTGTACAAACCCGTTTATATGTACACCTTAGCTATCGTCCATGCAGGACGCTGCGACCAGCCCGGCCTCGGAGCCCGCAGCGGCTGAGGCTGCGCCCAGCATGGAGCCTGAGCAGAACCAGGAGGAGCCTTCAAAGGCTGCAGAGAAGGAGCCCGCGGAGGCTGCGTCGCCTGAGTTGCCGGACTACGAGGAACCGAGCCCGTCTCAGGAGAAGGAGCCGGCTCGGGCTGAGCATGTGCAGTCGGAGGACGAGCCTTCAAAGGCTGAGGAGGAGAAGAAGGAGGAGGAGGCGC